AAGGATAATAGAAAACAAGCATAAATTTGCAATTAATTATATTTATTATAATGCATGCATAAAAATATGGTTAAAAATACATGAAAAAGGAGTCTTCTTCAGTTAGAGAAGGCTTTCATAGAACTTTTAAACAATAATAATTCCTTATTTTTGCAGTGAATTTTTCAATGAAAAATAACAGAAAAGAAATTATATAAATGTTTGGGGAGGCATGTCAATCAGTGTTCCTTATAAAATTCTAAAAGTTTACATAATTTGAAGCAAAAATACATCTAATTAATTTATGGATTAACACAAGCATTAAAACAGAATGTATATTACTGTAACAGTATTAAGAATATGAGGGAGAACATTCAATACAATAAGATATAATCATCTGGCATAACTCAGTTTCATTTTTATTCTATAAATGTTGGGGTTATAATTTCACACAAAGGGCAAACTTGACAGACAAGGGACAAATAAGCGTTTTAACACTTAAATGATTATAAAACTAAGATTGGGCGTCTTTTTTTCTAGTTTTGGTGATTTGCATTCCGATGTTCGGTTCTGGATTTCATTTCACATAGCAGCTAATCTCTCCCTGTAAAAAAAATGCAAACCAAAAAAAAAAACCATAGTGTAGTATGAAATTTAGCATTGAAGGTATATTTCTTACACACACTGCTCTGCAAAAATGTAAAACACATGACGTTAAAAATCAAAGCTTCTTAAATTCATTCATTGTGAATACATTTTTTTCCTTGCGATGGGTGTAATTTTTGTTGTTTTTGTGGTATTCAGAGATCCACTAACTTTTTTCCCTCTTGAAATGTTAAAATGTCATACTAAAGTACAGTAGATTGTTTTTAAACTACGATTTTAAATCCCCTGGAAGAAATATTTTTTTCAATTAAACTACGGAAATTTGACTTCTTGAAATAAGTAATTTTACAGTATCGATAAAATACACACCAGACGTAAATGTTGAAAATCATACATGTATGAATTACTTAATCTTTTACAAAAAAATTCGATGTTTGTTGAATGTATGTATTTAAGCTATTCAAGCTTCATTTTTGAAGAAAGAAAATTAATTTTTTCTCAAATGATATCGTAAGATTTTAAAGAGACACACTTTTTCACTGCTGTTGATGAGAACCGACTAAAACACGGCTTAGACAATGTAACATTTAAAGTGACAACACTTCTCGACTTAACAAAGAGAGCACTAGACAAGTGGAAATTAAGTGCTCATTGTAATTAAAGTACCTTCTCAAAACCAGTGCAAACAGTATGCTGAAACAGGCAACACTTGTGGTAATTCCCGCCACTTCGACTATAGATGTTATCCGCCGTTAAAGTGCATGAGCTGTAACAAGAAACAAAGATACATATACAGTTCCGTAAGTTATTTTATTCAAATTTAATATTTCGTTCAATATGCTTTTTTCTCTTTGTAAAATTTTAAATAATTTTAGGAGGTACATGAAAAAATATTCATGTTGTAATTATAATGATCAGGAAATATTCGTCAAACTTTCACAAGAATCGGTCAAAATATCCGAAATGATTTTTAGAGATATGAAATTCATTTCAATCGATTGATAATTATGTAGATTTTTTTAATACCTATTTCGTTTTATGTAATGAAGACACATTTGGTCTATTTCACATAATATAATCATATAAAGTTTATGTAAATTGTCATATTTCATGCTTGCCTCCAATCAGTTAGTCATGTAACATGATAAAAAATACAAACAGCATTTTTAAAATAGGTTATGTACATGTATAACTTTTAAAAAGAAAGTATATGATGTACATAAAAATGGCAACAACTTAATAACAATGTAAAACAGGCTGAGCCGATATGTAAGTTATAAATAGAACTGACATATTACAAAAAGACTTATATAATACCGTCGATACAGAATGCCCCCGTGTATCCTTCTCTACATTTCTTACAAGTCCCGTTCTTTTTATCACACACTGAGAGACAACCCTCGCTACACATAGACTTACATTCAGCTCCATAAGTTCCTTCCGGGCATTCTGTAAAATGTGATAGAAAATTATTTAAAATGTTTAAAACAAAATGGAAAATATAACTAAATGTGCACAGATGATTTTTTTCTCGAACAAATGGTTTATCACCCAAATAAAAATATTTAAACAGAATATTTTGATATATTAAGAACATTTTTTGCTTCGGTAAATATTTTAGAAATATCAGCTGGAGAGAAGCTTTTAATTTTTTAGTCTTTTAGAAGAAATAAAATAAGCTTTTCTTCTAAAAACAATCTAGGCAGCAATTTAATTTGCTAATATATTTCAATATATATAAATAAGAAATACATATGAAATCAAATTGATTATTCTTGTTATAAAATATTTGATTGTATACCACATGCCAAGGATGGACAAAGAGAATACATTTTATTGTACACTGATTTAATATAAATGTTTTTACTAATTTTTAGAATTATTTTATAATCTGATGTTTTCAACATGCGTTTACTTATTCCAAAACATTTTAAAAAAAAGATTTTTATGTTAGCATTGATGCATTCATTCCGCAAAAGATTTATACTTCATGCTATTTCTTAAACATAGTATCCTTACTGCATCGCATTTACACTACATACATGTATAAATAATCCACAGTTATATATAAATGATGCATGTTATTCGTCCGCAATTTAAGCAACATACATTCACACTAAATATCATTCGAAGGAAAGGGATCATGAACATATTTTTTTTTAATTTCAGAAAAGCATGTTCTAAGTCGCGTGATAAAAAAATGAAAAAAAATAATGTTTATGAAATTTTATTTTTTTTTTATCGTCTTCCCCAAATACAACAACACCAGTGAATTTGTAATGATTTATTTCATACAATTAATGTAATATGTAGAAACTAACAAAATGTAAACATTTTATTTTAAATGTTGTCATAAGAGACGCGAAAGGAACAGCCCATCCTCAAATTCTATGTTTTCAGATATACAGTATATTTTCAGTTGTCAGTCTTGTGGTCAGTTTGATCGCTAATCTACAATATACAGAATTACAATAAACATACAGTTAAAAATACATTTAAAATAACAAATGTATATTAAGGTTTCTTTCCGTTATTAAAATATAAATGCACTAAATCAGAGATTTTTTAAATAATTCTCTTGAATAAAGACATTATAGCTCATATAATATAATATTCTGCGCATTACAATCTTATATGCAGTTTTGCTACTCTATCTAAGAACAACACTCAATCCAGTGCCTGCGGATTAAGAAAAAGAGGTAAGAAAAATAATTAATCATTCAAATCAAAAATCTTATACTTAAAAAAAAAATACTTATGTAGCAACATACCTTCATACGGAGATTATATTTCCCAGTTGATTCGATACGCAAGAGCTTGATCTACGTATGAATATATTCTAAATTGTGGTAAACTATTGACAAACTAAGTTGAAGAAACAAGAATATAAGCAGCCCCGTTTACAGTCACCATTTCGTTAGTTCTATGCTCTGCTTCTAATTTGTATTATTTGATGGACTTTGATACTGAATACTGTTAGCTCCATATCCTTCATGATAAGAATTGATATAACTAAAGTGGTCATATTTATTTGACAAAATTATTTTGCATACCCATATAATTTAATTTTCATTTTTTCCCGTTATTTCCTGATCAGGACAAGGAGCACACGGCTCGTTTGACCGGTTGGGAGCGGTTGCTCACTCCTCCATGTCACCCGATCCCATCTCTGTTGTTTTGGAGGTCCTCTCCAAAGGAGCTCTGTTCCTATTTTGTATTGTTTATGGACTTTGATATTGAATACTGTTCGTTATCTCCATATCCAGCATGATCAAAATTGATATAACTAAAGTAGTCATATTTATTGGTCAAAGTGTTTTTGATACCCATATAATATTAATTTTGAAAAAAAAATCTTACTGTGTTTCATAAACTACCCTACATCGCACTGTAGTAATATCGATTAACAAAACTTAAAATAACACTGTAAAGAATACATACTTTCTACAGTCCACCAAAGAAAATGAAAATTTTCCCTCAGGAGTTTATGAAGCAAAATAAAGGAGGTGAACCGTGTTTTTTCTCAATTGAATCTAACATCTTGTTTCACATTAATGCTGAATGTACAACAAAGGCAGAGCAGGTCAACATTTAAGTCATATTATTTAAACAAACTGTCTTCTCTCTTCTATTTACTAAAATAAGGCACACTGGATTATTTTCTCTCAATTTTAGCACGTTTATTACACAATTCACCAAACAATTAAGTAAATAGAATCGTTCCTGCAATAATGTCAGGGCATATCTAAAAAGCTAGTCTTGCTATAAGTATTTTTTTATATATATTCACACATACCTCAATAGTGATCATGAACAATAAACAATTATCCAGCTTAAAACATTTTCTGACCAGAGACCTGAGATGCAAAATGAAAACTGCAGAAAGTAATGATATGAAATATGTTTCATTGTAATTAAATAGAAAAGATATACATGTATAAGAACCACACTTTTAAATAAGTAGAACAATTTTTTCCCTTCAAAGTTTCTTAAGTGTATCACACAACCATCTTAGGAAAGCATCCAATGAAAAAAAATTAATTCTACTGCAATAAGGAAGTAATCAGCGTAAGTGAGCATGTATGTTTCCACTAAGTGTAGCAAAATTAACACTCAACATCTTAAAAGTTGCTTTCAAATGCAAAAAAAAAAAAGAATTAGTTGAAAGTTTGTCATTAGATGCATGCATTAAGATTTTTTCTTTCAAACAACTATGAGCTTTTATTTTTTAATTTCAGTGATTTTCCAAAACATTACATATTTTTATGGTTTTATCTCTCGAATGAATAACTCATCAAAAATTATGCTGATATCATTGTTGGAAAATATAAATATTTAAGTTTAGCAAAACAAGACAAAAATCATGTCAAAAGCATTTATAAGAGCGAAAAGTCCACAGAATTTTTTTAAATATATCTTATATGAAGTCAGTAGGAGATGTGCCATTTGCTCTCAGTTCAATTCGTCGTCTTTTAAAAGGAAGCAGTTCTCTTCTGGAGTTCAGAATTTTCCTCTGTATTGCAAGCAGTTGAGAGAATTCGCTTTCTTCACATTTATCCCCGTGATACCCAGGTTCACATAGCGCTAAACAGGATCCGGTCACGTGATGGGATGGTCTGTTTCCTCTACAGTATCCACATTGTTCTTTACATTCTCTGCCGTACCAGCCATCCTTACAAGCTGGAAAACATCAAAAGAATGAAAAATAACGAATAAGTTTTTTTATGTCATAGACCTTTTCTGCTTTACCCGAGGCCCTTTACAGATAGATATTATAACTGTTTATGAGTATACACTTAAATACTAGTACGCTTCGAAATGAGATTCCCTTATCCACCAATACCCGATGCTCAAAAGGTGTATCTTTTCTTTATAAATATAACTTGGGCAATTGCAATATTTTGATCTCATTTTTTTTTAACAAAGTTCGGATAAGATATTCTTATTATATATATTCTTTTATGATAGGATGCATATAACGAAACCATTTATGTATTTTCGATGTTACTTTCATCATATTATTCAAGGTGTTTAATTTCACTTCGTTGCATTGCCATATATGGAGATAACGAACAGTTTTCAAGATCAAAAGTCCATTCAACAATACGAAATAATAGCAGAGCAAACACCGACCTCCAAAACATCAGAGGTAGGATCAAGTACCATGGAGGAATAAGAATCTCCTGCTAATATCTGCCTGAAATTGTCGTTTATGTTGCATGTCATTTTAATTCCGTGATAAAATTTTCAAACCTTGATTACATTTCCTGTTTATATTGTGTATCCACCCTGGTGCACAGTTTCCATCTGGACAGGAACCTTTCACGGAGTTACATGTTGCATTATTGGCACAATGTCCACATTCTGAGAGACAGTTTTTACCAAAGCTCCCAGCTTCACATGCTGCAGCTTCACATGCTGCAGTAAATGTACACTTTACATATTTTGTATATTGTATTATAAAACTGAATACATATTAATTATTCTGTGCAGTAAGTGAAGTACGAATTTTTTGCTTTAAAAAATGATTTAAAGTACTTTTATTACTTTAAGTTTCAAACTGTTATCTTTCATCTTCTGTATATATTACAAGGGTTTATTTAATATCAGAAAGATTTTTGTTTAATTGTAATAATGTGCTTCAAATATAAACCATTAAGTCTGAATATTTAAGTTTAATTGACGAAAGATCCTACAGTAAGGGTTCATGTATATAGTTAATCCGTATTCAAACAGACAATTCAGTATTTATCACTGTATGCAAGTTATATATTGAAATAAACATATTTTTTGAGTTTTCATTATATCAACGAAAAATACTTTCTTTTAAAAGCCACGTATGCCATCCTATGTCTGTTATTGCATGATTTTCTTGTGTGTGTTTATCAATACATTTAAATAGACCATTAATTCGTAATAGACACCAATAAAAGGCTAACATTTAATTTCATAAATTCAACAGACTTTAAAACTAAAATATGGCCAATATCCAATTCTACATACAATTAATTTCTAAAGGGGCAGACTACTGTCGAGAAAAAAAATGAAGATAAAGATTTATCGACAATAGTGAAAAGTCAACATTTAACGAATTTGGTTGTTGATCAGTTACTTTATTTGCAGATATAATCTTCAGTTAACTCAAATTTTGAAAAAATGTTTTGAAAAAAAGCACTATTTTCACTCAAAAATAAAAAGGATATACCTTGATTGCATCTTCCCTCGCTAGAATGTATCCAACCTGGTTCACAGAAACAGGATGGACAGGAACCTGTCACGTGATCACAAGTTGTTTTGTTTCCACAATGTCCACATTGAAGGCCACAATTTCTACCATAGAAACCTTTCTGGCATTTTAGAAATATATTTATGTTCAGAGCAATATAATAAATTTTTGATTAATTTTAAAGAATTAATTTTTTGTACACGAATATCTGGTATAGAATTTCTGCGAAATTTTGTAAAAAATGTATTTAATGACTTCTTTCTTTATAAAAGTATGAACATTGGTTTTTAATAAAGTTTTATGTCAAAGAATAAAAAAAGTAAAAAAAAATCATGCATAGAGAATCTGTCCATTTTTGAAAAATTGAAAAATCTACATATTTTGTTTCTATTACAAATAATGATAGGAGAAAATTTAAAGTTTGCTGACCTTTATCACATTTCCAGTCCAATGTTTCTTTCCATCCAGGTAGACACTTTTTATTAGGACACTAACCGGTTACATTGTTACATGCTGAATTATTGGCACAATGTCCACATAAAGAGTTACACGACTTGCCATATCTTCCACTTCTGCATTCTGTGCAAGTTACAAAAAATAAGACTGACAATTTGATTTAAATTAAGCCAAGAGCTTTTGAATGTTGATGACGTTAACTTAATTCAATATTTTGAAACATCAAAATATAAACAAAATACGAACAAAAATACTGTGAAAAAATCATTTTGTTTCAACCAGACAAGAATTTTTTTTAATTAAATATCAAATTCAGCTTCTGGAGATGTATAAATATATGTAAACAAAGAGATCAACATTTTCTTCTTACGCTGTGGCACGTAAGTACATTGAAAGATACGACACTAATGGCGGAAGAACAATCAATCATATTTTTCAGCAATACCTAGTGTAACCACTCAGAGAAAAATTTGTCAAGAGTATTAAACGTTGGTTAGGTTTTTTTTTTTAATTGTATATTACGGGGTAAATACAATGTTTTAACTGAAGACCGATAAGTCAGAAAATTCAATAAACTAAATAAAATAAAATAACTATTGGGACCATCATTGGAATTATGTGATATAAAATATTAAAAGGAATATATTGTATCTTGGACAGTTATAATTTGAATACTAGCTGACACTGGAAACTTCTCATTAATTTTAATTTACAGTTTAACTAATAAAATTATTAATAGAAATTTATGGCAAATGTCATAACTCTTTAAGATGAAGGAGTTATTGAACCTATTTTCAACTAGATGAATATTTACAACTGTTGTTACTCGCAAGTTCGTACAACAACCGACTCGTGCCAATATTCACCAATGTAAGTTCAATAACTTTATCTTATTAGGCTATTTCAGCAGACCTTCCATGAAGGAAGAAAGTAATTTAAATGGTCTTTGTGCTTTATTGGATCCAGAATATAACAGATCTGGGGTTTGGAAAATTGCATATACACACTAAAAACAGTGATCTATTTATTCATTACGGTCGTATTAGAGGAAATATTAATACAGTATACTTAGTGAGAAAGGGCATATACGATTGTAATGAATAGTCATGTCTCTAACAGGCATTTTTATTTACGAGTTGTTTTTTTTTATTTTTTTTTTTATTTTTTTTTGTTTTTGCATTTTCTTCAAAATAAACACGTGGGTATATATTTGATGTACCTTTACCTTTACAGTATGGTGGATGGTATCCATCATGTATACAACCAAATGAATCACATTGTCCCGTTGCGTGGCAATCCCGTTTACAATTTCCGCATGACTCACACTGTTCTCCGTATTTCCGACGTGGACAACCTGAAATAATTTGGACTCAAGATATATTATTAGGATAAACTTGAGAGATAATTCAAATTAAATAAAGCAAGAAAGTGGAAATGCGTTTTGGCATTTGTGGAATTTCATTATTATACAATTTGAAATGGAAATGGTAGACTGCGTATGAAATCAAGCAGAGAGTATATTTATGATGACGTCCGTATCTCACACCCACTACTATACAATGAATTTACTTTCAAACTCAAACAAAAAAAAAACCTTAGAGAAAATTCCCAATGCTGCTGAAATATTTAATTATGGATATGCGTTTCAAAATTGATGGGATAAATATGATTTCCCGAATAACTAGAAAAACGTAAGATTTTGAAAGCATCAAATATGAAAAAAAATCAGTAAAAGACTTTAAGGTGAAAACTTAAATTTTCGTATCATTTCCACTTTGTTTGACTTATAGACCATGTGTAAAAATAAGAAAATAAATAAATATATAAATATAAATCAAGCATGTACCCGTGTTACCAAAAAACCCTAAAACTTTCCAAAAACATAGGGGAAGAAATAGAGGTAATTTGGTTTTATTTTTATTAATTTGATTATGTCAGTTTTGTATCACATATATATAACGAAATAGCGTAGTGGTTAGAGTGTCTGCTCTAGAGTCATGAAGTTAAGAGTTGATCCTTATGTCGCGGGTCCGAATCCCACTGTGGGACGTGGAGACCAGTACTTCGGATGAAACCGGATAACCCGACGTCCCATGTTGCAGTAGGTGCTGACACGAAAAAGATTCCTCCATGCTCAATGGCCATGAGTACCAAGTATACGACAAAATTTTCAGCTCTCCACCGGCAAGTGGTGACGTCTCCATATTAGTGATATATTCTCGAGAGGGACGTTAAATAATATACAATCAAATAATCAATGTAATAAATCTTAGATATTATTCATTGTCGTAAGATTATATACAACATGTATGTCAAAAGCTACAGGTTTAACATTAAAATCCAACCTCAGGATGTATTAAATGCTAGTTTTACCATGTATTTAAGATTTTGCTGCAGCCGAGCTCCAGAATTAACATTAAGACATTAAGCTACTCTTAACTTAATGTAGGTATCATCATCTAGATAAAAAAAATGGCTTAATCGATCGATAAAATGGTTATTCTAAAGACTTTCTGATCGTGATGTACTCGAGATTAGCAAGCCGTGACGAAATTGTAAACATATCCAAACCCCCCACCCCTCTCTTTCTCTGAATCCAAATTACAAATGCTTCTAAATAATGCAATCGATAGTTAACTGAATTTTTCCTTGTTAAACTCGCATGCCAAGCCAATACATACCAAAAATTCTTATTTCGCAGATTTCCAGAATGGCACCATACTGATCATTTTTCTTGTTAGTATATATCTTTATATATCGAGCAGTCCGAACACAATTCACCTCAAGTACTGTTTCAGGTAAAACATGACCTGGATCCTGATAGCATATGTTGTTGTCCTCAAATCCTGGGGTTTGAGAGGCAAGTATGGAAAATCCTGTAAGTCTGAAGGCACGAGCTGATCCGCCTAAAAAGACTCTTAAAGAACTAAATTCAATAAAGAAAATCACAAACTTGAAAATGAATCTCTGCTGCAAAAATCTCTCTAAATACTCTGAAAAAATTGTTTATTCAACATTTTGTATCAGATTACGTTACCGGACAACTTAAGGGATGTATATGCCATTTTTATGCTCTGAATGATGAAAGGAAAACATTTAAAGAGGACAATCCATCATTAGCATGAAATATATGGAGATAACAAACAGTATACAAAATAGCATTAGACAAATACACAAATGAAATTAACTCACTATCATCTCTGTACCATATTTTAACACTTTTTACGTTGTAGATGACCCCTAGGTCTATGGTCAACCAAGCCTCCGACCATCCTATGGCTGTGTGCATGCAGTTCGTGTAATGTTGATTAAAATTCCCGTCAATTGTAAAGTCCGCGGACCCTCTTCCTCTTCCGAATGGATGTATTGAACTGCTTGTCACTTTTGTTGTCCTGGTATTTATAAGCTGCTCTTTTTGAAAATATATGTTAAAATATACGCAAAATTATTAAGTGTTGTACAAATATTTTATGCCTAACAGAAGGTTCAGCAATAGTGTCCTTATCTTGCAACCCAATGCATTGATAGTCAGGGAATGCTTATAATTATTTCAAAATATTATATTAAACCATTATATAGCAATGAGATTTGTTTTTTAATCATATTTGAAAATAATATAGATATTATAAAAGATACTTACGAATAATGAAATAAATGAAGATAATCTTGAGATGAAAATTACGTTTTTTAATGCGTAAAACTAATAAACTCTAAAAACATGTATAACTAGAAATGATGTTTTTGCAAGAGCAGCATCCGACTGACTTATACTACATCAGTCCATTGAACACATGTAGATTACATCCTTTAATTTGTTTATGTCCATATACCACAGTCTATTAAGAAAGAGTATGAGTATTAAACGTTTACAACGGAATATCTCATCAAAAACCTTTTAGAAATAGACAAGTTCTTCCAATATTGTATTAAAAAAAAGAAAAGTCATTTGCAACTAAAACAAGACAGAAACAAAGAAAAATGTTTGACATACCAGCAATGGGATTCGAACCCCAGACAGTGGAACAAATTTTGGTTCGGTCATATTTTTTTGCAATAAATACACGCATGAAGACGAGGAAAAATATTTTGATTTCTTAGAAGAAACTCTAAAAGCCCTGTAAATCCTAAAGAATAATATTGAAAAACAAAAAAAAAAACGTTGAAAATTTTGGACTTTTTGAAATCATTGCGACCGAATGTTAGAAAAAGAATGTCTATCCACACATCTCCATTTGATGCTCTATCAGTTCAGCGACTTTCTTTTTTATATCTTAAACCGTTCTCGAAAAAATATTCTTGACAAAATGCCCTTTAAAAAATACAAATTTCTCCAGAAATTACGAGCGAAAGTGAAATTTGAAAAAGTGAGATACCCTTGGAATAATTCACATGATGCAATATCCCTGAAAAAAACTTTCAAACTGAACAACGTACATGTGAGATATGGCCTGTATATTGAAAAAAAAGAATGCTAAAAATAATAGAAAACAGATAGAAAACAATATTGTCTTCCGAAGGAAGTCGGAAGACCATAACTAATATGAAAATTGTCCTTACCATAGCAATTAGTAAATGAGATACTCATTATCCAAAGAAATAACAGACTTGAGAAACAGGTCCATGAATCAACATCCATTGTTTTTCCAAAATAAGCAATGAAAATATAATCTTGAACGTTTAATCTATCGTAATGACATTTATAGCATTTTGGTTTGGAATGCAGTACTTTTACAAAAATATACAGCCTCATGAGTCAGGTTTTCAGTGATAGAATGTCAAGTAGGATTTCTAGGGGCGACCATGGAGCTCATCGTAAAATGTCGATAAGACAAGTAGTTTTTCCTGTGCACCACATATTTTAAGGCGCATGGACATAGTTGCATCGATGGTTTGTTAACAATTTCAAATTTCTTTTTAAATGACCACAAAAAAAAAAAAAAAAAAAAAAAATTAAGTAAATTACCCTTGAAACTCAAAACATTCAATTTGGATTAAAAGTTGACTTAATACATGTATATCTAAAATTAATTTACCTAGTCATCAATGGAAAAGTCATCAATAAAAAAGTATGCTCTCAAAATTGTTCATAATTTTTTCTTTTATTATTTTCTTTCCCAAAAAGGACAATATTTTATATGGATGACAATAAACACAGGATATGTGGAAAGACTACTATTTGAATACCAAAATTTTTCATTACTAGTACCTAAAGACTTTTTTCACAGTTTCCATGCGAGCCTTTTATTTCTGAATATTTACATTTCAAATGAAACATTTTTTAAGCAAGGTGTGTTTAATTATGTGTAAAAACATTGTAAAAACCGTTGAGGTTTGAAAATTTTAATCATTTTATGCATATGTGTTTAAAACTTAAGCATGTAAAATACGTTGTAATTAGTCTCACATTAAAATAATAGTAATAAGGTATCACTTTAAAATTTGATAGGGATGCAATTACGGGATGATATGTGATACATTCTACCGGAGAGCCCTTCAGGCTTTTGGCGACATGATCACATTTCTAATCCGTAACTATTTAGATCGCGATAAATGTTTAAAAATGAAACCTTACTTCTTAAGTAAAATGGAACTGATTGTGTTCAAGTGTTTTATTCAACGAAAATTATACACTTAAACTTGAACAACGTTTTTAGAATGATAAGTGAAGTAATCCGTAATGTCCACAAGTCATTTTAGTCAATTTAGGTTATAATTTTGATTTATGCTGTTTATATCTGTCTTAGATCTTTAATGCCATAACCAAATTAAGTAATACAAAAAACTGTTTTTTTTCTCTCTGGGACTAACTTGATTTCCCCGATTCAGTTCCCCGAATTGTCATTTGATATGTCAGCATTTTTAATGATTTCAAATTTAGTTGTGGCGGCGTATATATTATGCAAAGACGTTAGTGGTAATTCAACGACCAAGCTCTATGTTAAACGTGATGGCCTAACTTTTTTATCCTCTACTTCTCTTACCTATGCAGTAATATACCTTCATCACCTGCATACTGTATTCATATACTTCAGTTGATTCGATACGCAAAAGCATGCTCTACAATCTCTCAAGGGAGGTAAATTATTGACAAACAAGTTGATGAAACAAAAATAGCAACACTCTCGATTACAGTAATTATTTTGTAAGTTCTATTGTCAGTTCATTGGCCTTGTTAGCAAATACAATTCATCATTTACTATATAATGCCGAATGACGGTTTTCATACTTACCGGTAACGTAAGTCCACTATTTATGCACTGAATCGACGATGGATTTTTCCGCTATTTCCCGATCATGACAAGGAGAACACAGCTGGTGTAACCTGTCAGCAGGGAATGTTCTCTCCTCCATGGCTGTTTGCTCTGCACTTATTTTGTGGATTTTTGATCTTGAATTCTGTTCGTTATCTGCATATGTTTCATTCAACCGGTTACGGGCTTTTGATTTCAAAATTCAGCGCCATATATATGTCAACACTCAAACGATATTCGGCTAAGAATAAATGTTTTGTACACATTGATTGTGAGCATTTAAACATCTAAAATTTTGGATTTGAAACTCGAAAAGTATGTAAGTGACATCTAAGAGTCAATTTTTTTTTTAGAACAAAACAGCTTGATTTGCATAAGGTGCATGTCGAGAGATACCTAGGATTTATTTAAAGAATCTAAGTCGTAATTTTAAAAAAAAAACACACACACACCAATTGTCATTTACAAACAAGATTGTTTATTTCATGCTGATTTAACATACATAAGATTAGTACAATGTTAGGAAAGGAAAAACAGGCATGACAATATTTTTTATACAAATTAAAGGAAACTGCGATTTTTTATACATTTATTGCTTGATTGTGAGGGAAAATCGTTGTGCAGAATGATTATAATGAGGCATAATAAAAAGAATAATATGCATAATATAAAGAAGAAACAAGAAACACTCTTGGAAAGATATTATAATATCAGTACAATATTGTAATATCTTCAGATTAATTTTTCGATAGGTCAAGTTAGTTGAATAAAAAATCACTAATGGAACATTACATCTTGTCCACAGCTAATGTTTATCTAACAATCATAAGGATAACATTATTTGCCAAATAATACAATATGAACATAGAGTTCTTAGTGTCATTTAAAGAATATTTTTCTTGGCTTATCCGAGATGAGACGGAGTCGTTCCATTCGCAATCAGTCCAATTCTTTGTCGTTTGAAATAGAGAAGATCTCGAACAGAGTTGAGGATTTGCCTTTGTATTGCAAGAAGTTGAGAAAACTCGCTTTCGTCACATTTATCTCCAAAATATCCAGGTTCACAGAACCCTGAACAGGATCCGGTCACGTGATGGCATGGTTTATTACCTCTACAGTAACCACATAGGTCTTGACATTCTTTACCATACCTGCCATCATTGCAAACTGAAAAAAGAAAAAAAAATATCAGAAATTTCTATGCAAAATTGAATATTCAATAATAAAAAAACAATGCATACTAGCATACAATTTCAAATAGCTTTGAAAAAGAGAGGGTTTGAAATAAATAGAAAAAAACAACTTTTGTACATTCTGCAATAAAACTTCGTAATTTCGTAATCTTCATTTATTATATTCAAACTTATCTTCTGTAGTAAGTTAAGTTTCTTATGTAAAGTATTTTTAATGGAATAATTTAAAGTCTTGTCTCTTTTTCAAATTAAATGATTTTTTTTAATGAAAAAGAGAAAAAATCTTATAAAATCAACAAACTTTCGTTGCATCTCTCCCCATGATAACCAGGCTGACATGAGGCAGGACATGTTCCGGTGACATGATGACACGCCATACTTCCAGCACAATAGCTGCATTGCTCCTGACATTCTCTGCCGTACCACCCATGATTACAAGCTTAAAAATTTAGGGTTGAAATACTTTTATTCCCTGATATCTAATGATTGATTAAGCAATAATAGCACTTATTCAAAAGCAGGCGTGTTTTGCAAACTGCTAACATTAGGTAAATAAGAACTTAAGTTATATGAATTAACAGTGTGTTATATTAAAAAATATTTCTACATATATGATTGATTGATTGTATGTTGTTTCAGGTCCCTATCGAAAACTTTTAACCAATATGGAGACGCCACGCCACCACCTGCCGATGGAGAGCTAGAAATTTTGACTTATACTCGGCACTCGGGGCCATCAAACAATGAGGGATCTTTTGTTTTGTGCAAGCACCCACTGCCATAATGAAATATCGGTTTATACGATGTCATCCATCTCAAACTTTGGTCTCTACGTCCCACAGTGGGATTCGAGGCCCCGACCTTTTCTCACGTTGCCACTCTAGAGCAGACGCTCTTACAACTGCTCCACGCGGGCGACTCCTACAAATATGAAATACTGGGTTTTTTTAAGTTTCAAATGTAAAAGGAAATCAAATGAGTCCTTTTTATAGCAATTTTTTTTTCAATTCTACTAACAACAAACAACTTCCATGTTCTTCGATTGTTCTAAAACGTTTTAATGTATAGGATAAGAAATTCATTTTTAATACTTGGTATCGCGATTACTTCACATATTGGAACTCTTTCGCGATTGAGGTAGGAAACGTTTGTTGTATGGGAGCAAATGTGCTATGGAATACAATGCAAGATCGATCATTGTAGAATTTATAAGGACAGGCAAGTAAAGTAAAAAATCTTGGTGGAATACCTTGCTAAACAATCGCTGAACTAGCCTAATCAATCTTTGAGAGAAGCCAATCCTAAAATATTACATACGTTACGATATTTTTAACTTAGCAGACTCTTCTCATGAAATTTTCCTTGAAAATCGTCACATTTTAAAGCTAATAGAATATTCTAAACTTTCCTTATTTGACAATCTACTATTTGGAGTTCAATCCTTGGCAATACATTGTACTTTCTGCATAAAATTGTAAGACTGTTGGTACTGTAAACATTAAGTCCCCCCGAAATCTTGCGAGATTTAGAGTTTTCTGGACTTCCCCGAAAAAGAGTGGTACATGTAGTAAGTTAGATAACTGCGAGGTACTGGCGATGTTACGTATTATTCGATACTGATTATTTTACATTCGTCTATTTCCTTTCATATTGTAAAAAAATTGAAATGCCTTGTACTTATCCTCTAGAGGATAAGTCAGATAAAATGTGAAGTGATAAAATAGATCTTTAGTAAGTTACCTTGGTCGCATCTTTTTTCACTGGTATGTTTCCATCCTGGTTCACAACGACCGGAAGGACAAGATCCTGTCACGTGATCACACGACTCGTTATCAGAACAATGTCCACAGGGACGACTACAGTTCATACCATAGTAGCCTTTCTTGCATTCTACAAAAACATGAAATTGTAGAAGAATTTTAACAAGAGACCAAGGAACCACATCGCTCACCTGAGCAAATGGCAAGGTAAAAGCAAAAATCAGTTCAACCAGGGTTCTCCACAAGGGGTTTTATTTGGTGGCTCGGCATGGTTAAATTTATGTACGCCATGGTTAAACGAGCTGCGCCATGGTTTAAATCGACAGACGCCATGATTAAATTCTTCTGCATTTCAGTCCTGACACCTACTTTTTAATGATTTGGGTAGTTAATTGTGTTTATACTATGCCTGTCATGCACCTCGCCTCTCGAGAGAAAGCCGGGTCG